GAAAACTGTAAGTCCGATTGCTTTGATATTACATATATAGGTACTACCGTAAAATCTGTATTAGAAGCCGCATCCCTAATAGAAGTCGCACCCATTCTTTTTGAAAAATTGAGAACCAAAAAATCATCATCATCATAGATGCTCTAATAGAAGCCGCATCCCCTCTATTGCATTGTACCATTTTAATAGAAGCCGCGGTTTCTAATACAGATTTTACAGTACATGTGGACCTCTCTCAGATTTGTTCGTTTTGTGATGATATCTTCAATTCTCTAATTAATTTATTTTGGTGAATATTTTTGTAATTTTTGGTAAAAAGTGATATTTTCGACTTCTTGTTAAAAACTGTAAGTCCGATTGCTTTGATACTATTCATATTGTTCATTTTCTAATGATGTCTTCACTTCTTTAATTGAAATGTGCATTGCTAACAGCGGAGCTATCTCAGCCGATAGGCTGCTTGTTTTTTTTTGCTATCAGAATTGTGTTTTTATTTATATATTGGCTGTATTGAGATATTCAGATTATGTGAAATATTTGGTGATCTGAATTTGTGCAAAATATGGGAAATACGTACTTGACATTCAAATTGTTGATTGTTTGGACTTCTTATCCCCACTTCCACTCAGAATTGTTTTAGTTACGTTGGTTAATACTACATTGTTTTTATTCGTCAATTTTAAACGTGTTTCGCCATTTCATAAATAGGGAGAAAATAAAAATCATTACCGGTAATTTGCCAGAAAATTGGGAAATTGAAATGTGCTACTGTAATATACGGTACACATTGTGATATGCTTTTAAATCATTATGTAGAATAACTCATTGTTTGAAATTATTCTTTGCTGATGGTGTCGAAAGTGACAATTAATGGCAGCCAAAACAAAATGAAATTTGCTATTGGTGACTATCGAAGGATTAAGAGAATCCCAGTCATCACATTGTATGTTTCAATTGTTCTCACATGTATTGCTTCACAAAGATTTGTCCCTTGTTCTGAATTATCTTTAGATGTAACATTTCAAACTTCCCACTATTTGTTCATATTCAAACAATTATACCGGTACTTTATATAGTAGTCCAAAAACCTCAATGAAGCTTAAGGTATGATCTGAGAGTGCAAGATTTATATTAGAATGAGTGGTTCTATATTTGATGGTAATATTGCTGTGTGAAACACTACCTGAAACACTGTAAAAATTTAGAGTTACTGAGATTTTTTTTGGATAGCTCACTGCATCTGCTTGAATTTTATTTCAGGAAATATTTCCTTGGGTTGAAATGTCAGTATTATTTCACAGTTGACTCTGTGTCACATATAGACAACCCCAACACTCTAAAGTTGCTTATTGAACAAAACAGGTATGTTTTCAACAGTTGTGTTCTTTGACCTGTATGTGTAGTAATTTTTTGCGAAACTATGCCAAAATTATAACATGATGTTCAATTACAGCAAGTCTCAGAAGTATTGGGGCAGCCAATTTGCAAACTCACTAGCGAATTGGCTAACTACTTTGGTTTTGACTAAACAGTTGGCTTTCGAATCTCACTGGCGCCGTCTTGCGGTCACGCCCACTTACGACGAATGTATGTAAAAGTAGGGGACGATCCTCATACTTTAGGAGCTAATCCGCCACGGTCTTACAGTTGGATGGCGATTTCGCTTTGAAATATACCAAGGAAAGGGTTCTATGCTCTTTGTGTCCACACAAAAACGATGAATGAGGTCGATTTTTTCAGCGGTTGGCTTAATATTACCCCAACGGATCGTTTGAGTGTGATTTAATTTGTAGGAAACTGTTTCTCAACTTGTCTATTTAGTTTCAAGCAGTGTTCAAGAA